TGGAAGGGAGTCCGGTCGTCCTGGGTTCTAATCCGGGCTCTCCCTCCTGCTGATTGTCTGGCTAGAGGCAGAGCCTCCATGTCCTCATTTGCATAATGTTGTCCCAATAAATAGGGAGTCCTGCTGACTCCTAGGGGCCTTTTGAAGACAGCACTCACTCACGTGCTTACGGGGCCTGGATGCACTGTAGCTACACCCGCGACTAGCCCAGTGGTTCTCAACCTTCCTAATGCCGCCACCCTTTCATACAGTTCCCCATGTTGTGGTGACCCCCAACCATAAAATTATTGTCGTTGCTACTTCATAACTGTAATTTTGCTACTCTTATGAATCATAATGTAAATATCTGATATGCAGGATGTATTTTCATTGTTACAAATTGAACATAATGAAAGCATAGTGATCAATCACAAAAACAATATGTAATTATATATGTGTTTTCCGATGGTCTTAGGCGGCCCCTGTGAAAGGGTCGTTCGACCCCCAAAGGGGTCGCGGCCCACAGGTTGAGAACCGCTGGACTCGGGCGAGGGGGCAGCGCCTTGCACAAGGGCCGGTCCTTATTCTGAGGCCGGTTTCATCCCTCTCATTTCAAAGAATTACAGAAAGTGACAAAATCTCTTCACCAAAGTCACCTTGCAAATACCTACAGCAGAGAGCTGCTTCCAAGAAGTGTTTGAAATGCCTGTGTTTGAGGGGTTTGGGGTCAGCACATACCCAGCCAGCTCCCCGCAGAGCTGGGCGGGGATTTCCCGGGAGGCCCCGCCCGGCTGAGTCACTCCAGCCCGCGTGTGTGTCTAACCTGTCAGCCTCCCTCCTCCTCACAACTCGCAGCTGCTCCAAAGACCAAGTCCCGGAAAGTTCCTCACCCGCCGGCGGGCGAGCTCAAGGTTGGTCCGAGCGAGCGGGGCAGACAGGGGGGCTGGCTGGGGGGAGGATAGAGGCTCCGTTTACTTGGTAACATTCCTAGACTTTCCCCCCCTTCTAACGGCTCACATCACCTCTGCATAGCTCATAAAACAAAGATCAAAGACAAATCTCTAAGGAGATGTTTCTCTGTACTCCTTGGTTTTGTTCCGATATGAGCTTCAAATCTCAAAATGAGCAGCTACATCTATGAAGAAGATGTGCACAGCAGAGCAAAGATAGTCAATCGTTTTGTGATAACGATGTAAGATGCTGGGTGGGTGGGACCAACTTACGGGGGGATCGCTCTGTGAGTTGTAGGAATGTCTTACCCACGGTGTTGCACGCCTGAAACTAACAGAACATTGACTGTCAAGTGTAATTGAAAAATTTAAAAGTTTTCACGTGGTGGGGCGTTGAGCAGGGAGGTATGGCCACTTTTCAGCAACTGGTGGTGGAAATGTCCACATGCGGTTCATACGAACGGAGATAGCGGAGTATCTTCTCGTCCAGCTGGACAGTTAGAGGTCCCGGCAGATCCTCAGGGTCCAGGGGCAGCAGGCAACTGGCATTGTTGAAGTCTGGGCCCTAAGTAGCCAAGAAAGTCCCCAAAGTTCCTGCTGTGATGACTTCTGTGTTTTGGGGGAACTGGCTGGGCAGGGCCCCTCAGGCCGAGGCAGGCGTGCACAGAGCTGGTCCCCCCAGAGACGTTCCTGTGAACTTCCTCCCTTTCCTGTCCCGATTTCCCTGGAAACTCCGCGTTCCGGTGGGACTGGGTGGCGGTGGCGGGACGCTTGCGCCGGACAGGAGAGCGCTCCCCATCCCTGTTGCAGGGCGCATTTGGGAAACGGCGGCTTGGATGCCCAGGCTCCCGGAGTCTGCTTTGCTGATCATCTCCGTGCAAGACCCAGACCTCATCATGGGAAGTGGGCGCTACCGGCTCCTGGCTGCGGTGCTGCTGGTCGTGAGTGTGGAGCGGGCGCGACCAGGGCAGGGCTCCTGCAGGGACTGCCCGGCGGGTGAGGACCCAGTGACCGCGTGATTGTGGTGCTGAGACAGGGCGCGGGGGGGTCGCAGGGTCAGGGCCCAGGAGCGCTGCTGGAATGGCCTCTTACACGGTCACCCACAAACACTTCTCGGAGGCGCGTCTTAGCTGTGTGCACAAAGCCACGCCACCTGCCCCCGCCGTGTCCTCCAGGGGTAACGAGAGAACCTGGTTCACAGAGCTGCTGGGAGGACCCAGGAGGGTTACAAGAGGGCAGGCACCCGGCCAGCCTCAGGGAATGGCAGCGTGTGGGGGAGGCCCTGGCTCCAACTGGGGCACAGCAGGGAGCAAGGAGGAGGCGGGTGGAGGGTGTGTGCTGTGTGTCTGTGTGTGTGTCTGTGTGTCTCTGTGTGTATGTCTGTGTGTATGTGTGTGTGTCTCTGTGTGTGCATGTGCGCGCACGTGTGTCTGTGTGTCTGTGTGTATGTGTGTGTCTCTGTGTGCATGTGCGCGCACGTGTGTCTGTGTGT